AGGTCATGAAATTCCTAATTCTGCTATTACATTTCAGCTGTAGGACTATGTGTTGGTTTTGTCTGAGGCAGAGTTAATTTTTGTCATAGTAGATAGTGTGAAGCTGGAAACAGTGACAATAATTCAGGGGCTTAATTGTTTTAGTTATTTTAGTTATTGCTGAGCAGTGCTCGCACGCAATCAAGGCCTTTTCTGCTCCTCGCATGGCCCTGCCTGCAAGCAGGCTGGGGTTGCACAAAAAAATGAGAGTGGACACAGCTGGGAGAGCTGACCCAAAGGGATATCCCAGACCATACAGCATCGTGTTCAGCATATAAACTAGCAGGAAAATTAGTCAGGAGCTGCCACTCAGGGATAAGCTGGACATTGGTCAGTTGATGGTAAGTGTTGTGTTGTGCATCACTTGTCTTCATTGGGGTTTACTTCTCTCTTTTTATAATTTTCCTTTTCATTACGATTTTGTAATTCTTATATTTTATCAATATTATATTTTAATTATTAAATTGTTCTTAACTCAGGAGTTCTCTCACTTTTACCCTTCCAATCCTCTTCCTTAAAATCCTGCTGGGAGGGGAGTGAGCAAGCAGCTGTGTGGTGCTTTGTGGCTGGCTGGGGTTAAATCACAACAGACCAACAAACCAAAAATAGACCATGATGATGTGAAAAGATGAGTGCAAAGAACTAGTTTCTCTTCTGATGTGATAAACCTCAGAGGAGAAAGTATAAGTTAACATATGGAAATGTAGTAAAGACAACAAAATCTTTTGCATCATAAAAATTCTTTCCAGTATTTACTTCAAAATTAAATATACCAACAATTTAACACACTGCATATATTATTAAAATCAATAATACATAAATATTAAAAATTGACATCTACATGATAATTTTTTCATAATCAAAAATGAACAGTGCGAACAACCCTCTAAATTATAACTTTGATTATAATAATTTTTTTTTAAAACCACTACCACACTCAGCTTAATCACTTTGTTCATCGAGGTCTTATGTCTTGGACCACACAGCAAAATGTGTAATCAAATCACTGTGAGAAACTGTGACCTGTGACTATCTCTACTGATGGCTTTGTGGCTGCATGATCAGATTATTAAGTTTTAGAAGGTACTAGATCATTTCCCACAATCCCTGCATGCAGAGAAAACACTGCCTTCAGTGCTTTCAGATGGTCCCATGCCACTGAATTTTATTTGAATATTAGTAGAACTAGTGATCATTTCAGACCTAGAATTTATTCTGCAAAGTCATATGATCTTCTGTCATGACAAAACCTGACAAAAACATACATTACAACTATGAGGAGAAACTTGAATGAATATAATTTTGATTTGAACTGATTCACAATACTTTCTATCTCTGTAGTACACCAGCACCCCTCTTGCAGTGTTTCCTCTTTTTCTTTTGATACTGTTCAACACACTTCTCACTTTCTACTCCTCCATCCCATGCTAACCTTATGTGCGAAGCCATCATAACTCAAATCTAATGCTAACTGATTACAGCCTTGCCTATTATTCTTCCTTTAAAAAAGGCTTAAACACTGTATGTACTAATATATTCCTGGTGTGTAAAGTGCATTCAACATTCAGTAAAATCCAAATTTTCTTTAAAGAGTAATCTAAAATGCATACAGCTGTATAATTCTCCATCAAACATAAAGAGAGGCTGAAGTAAAATAGTTAGCCATTCTTGATCTGCAAAAAAATTTTAACAGCATTTTAGCAATGAAGCTTACCAATCACATTTCCGGTATGGAGATTAACTATTTTATTACTGACGATAGGATAGGGAAAAAAGTGAAGTGAAAGTGAAACTTCTGGGGAACAACAAACATAGTATAACAAAGGAGAGTATTTTGGAAAAACAACTGTGAAGGTCAAAAAGGAAAAAGGAAAGAGGAGAGGGAAAGGATAAAGGAAGGGGAAGAAGAAGGGGAGGGCATCAAGTGTGTAGCCTCTTCCTTAGGTTTAATTGAGGGTATTCCTAGAAATAAAAGCATTTGCTCAATTTCAGCTTAATGAAATATAACTGGAACCTCAAGTATCACAATTAGCTTATGGAGCTCTTGTTCCCATTTTCATAAATATATGCACCAACCTGCAGATCTTACATAAGACACCTCTAAATATGAGTTTGATACTCTTAGCATACTCACATATGTAACTCTTCTAAGACAATATTGATTTTTATCTGGAACTGATAAGCACTGCCTCATATCCAAAACTACAGATAAATAAAAGTCCCAGATCTTGCTTCCGTGTCCTTTAAAGCCTTGTATTTGGCTTTAAGCTCATTCTTTCCACTGAGATCAGCTGGCAGGTTTAGCTGGCTTTTCTGAAGACAACTTGAAAAAACAGAGACGTTCCTGAAAATTGACAATGTAAACATTCCAAAGTATCTGTTGTGAAATAAATACAAACATTTCTTAGCCTCCCTGGATTGTCTTCCAGAAAGACGGGAGGATGTCTGCATTTTTGCAGCCAACTCATGGGTGTGTTAGTGCACTGGCATATTTAGTCATTTATCCTCACACAAAATTGAAAGGTTTTCAGAAGCAGAAATTTATGACTCTGTCTTTAAAGAAGAATTTCTTTCCCATTGTTTGGTTAGCTATCTATCATTGCATACAGTGACATGTAACATGCGACTTCACATCCCTGACCCAAGCGCCAGGGAGGCAGCAGACTTCCCTGTGGGTTGGGTCTGGTTGACGTATGAGGCCCACTGTTCCCCTCAAAAGAGAGTCTCCTACTACAATTACCCTTCTTTTCTTTTCAATCGAGGGAGTTCTAAAGTGTGGGAGTGCGAGATAAGCCCTGGGCAACTCACCGAGTGGATCTTCATCTCCACCTCCATCCACTTGGTCCTCAAGTCCCAAAGACCCATACCTATTAAGCGAGGGCAACTAGGAAGGTGAGGGAGATGGGTGGGAGAGTTTTTGTTTGCCTCTCCTATGAGGGACCTCTCTCCACTCCCTCTTTTCCCTTAGGTCCCCTCCTTTTGCATGGTGACAGAAGGGGAGGGGATCCTTCAGTTCTTTTTGAGCATCTTTCTGCTCTTTGTCTCAGGGCCTTGCTCCACCAATCTATTCCACTTTTGCACTCCCTAATGCTTCTCAACCTCTTTACCTCCTCCCTCAGCTCAACCACTTGCGTAAGCAGGTCGTTTATTTGCTCACATGGCACACAAGTGTTGTCTCTGGTTCTGTCCAGTTCAAGTGCCAGGCTCAGGCATTCATTGCAGCCGGAGACCTGCACAG